TTTTTATTTATACCAATTTATAAATAAATTAAATTTAAAAAGTATGAGATTTTATACATTTTTAATAATCTAATTTGGATGGGGAGAGTAATAAACAAAAGCTAACGTAAGCATGGTGTAATATTGACGTCTTTTGTTTCATGCACTTCATTTAAATTTTTAATTTCATTCTTTCCGACCACATTTTTTATTCTTATTTTAATTTCTGTACCAGACGTCCAGGCAGGCAATATAGCTAGTGAATATAGTGTAAGGAATATATAGTCAACGCCCAGCCACCTCACCGGTCCACCGGCCTCCCAAGATGATAAAGAAACCCTAACTTGTTATTCGTAAATGAATATTACTCCGTATTATACTCCGTATTAAACAAATGTATGAAAATAAACACGACATTATTTTCTAAAATGAGTACTACGTTCTTTTAGAATGAATACTACGTTACTTCAAAATGAACACTAAAACCAAAGGAGAGAACACCGCCGATAGCTAGAATGAAATTAAAGAACAAGCTAAGTGTATAGCAGAGAACCGAAAACAATCCTTCCGTTCCTTTCAGTCCGATCGAGGAAGAAGAGCTCCGCCCCGAACCAATACTCCGTCTTCCATCCCTCTTTTTGGATGAGAAAACTATAGCTGTAGCAGGCGCTCCTTTGGATCGAGAAAGAAAGTTGGGCTACTAAGGCTTCGCCTACATATTGTTTGTATGAACTCTATTTTGATCGAGAATGAAAACTAATTAAGTTATTTGAGTAAAAGTACTACCTTATTTTGGAATAAACACTACATTATTTATAAATAAATATTATAGTTGTATAAAATAAATGCGTAAAATGAACACTACGTTATTTCAGAATGAGTAGCACTACGTTATTTAAAAATGAGTACTACGTTACTTCAAAATCAACACTTATGTTATGTCGAGAACGAGTACAACGTTACTTCAAAATGAGCACTATCCGGTTGTACCTTACTTCTAATACAGCCTGCTGTACCATATACGGACTCACTCGAGGGCGGGGCTAGGAGTATTTCGATTCCCGTGCTTCTGCCACCTCACCTCCCGTTTCCCTTCCCGAAGCCACACACAATAGTTGAGGACTTGTGGAACATGGACGTATTGATTGGCGAAGATAATAGAATAGACAGTGTAACTAGCATGAGTTTTCCTTAAACTATACTCTATTGAGTTCAAGAAATAAGAATGAAAAAGAAAGAAAGGTTATCCATTTTCTTCACCAAATTATAAGGACTTTTGTCTTTCTATACTTATCTTAGTTTATTTATTCAAAAAAAAAAGTATTATTTCATGGTATTCTTTTTGTTTTTTTTCAAATCTCTTGAGCCAAACACTAGCCAGGGTACCATGCGGATAATTTAATTACTTGTATAACCTATTGACTCCCGAGTCCCGACCACCACCTCAATAATTCAATCATCATTTCTATACCTATCCCCACCTCTATCTACACAAACGCATTCTGTAGCGGATCTAGAAAAAAATGGATGAGAATTGGCGTGAGTAGAAGAAATTGAACTTTATTGCTTTCCTAGTTTATATAATTCTTGTTAGGGTAGAAATAGAATTATAGTAGAAAATAGAAGTTTACTTATTTGATTATTCCCTCCTATATAAAAGGGGCCAAGCTTTTGTATTCGATCAGTTTTTTTGAAATATACTGAATGTTTTATCCTATTATAATTATTTCATCATGGTATTAATACAGATTCGATCTGAGTTTGAACTTCTAGTTTATGAGGCTGGCCAGCCACAAGAAAAGAAAAAACAACGTCAAGCGCAACTTACAAAATGCAATTATGCAGGGCCAGGCCGTTGTACTTGAGGGGGGGGGGGGGGG